GCTTCTAATTTTATTGATTTAGCTGTGTTATAAATGCACAGATCGTCGGCATATTGGCATGCGTTAATACTAGGATTTCAGATTCCATAAAGATTTACCCGACGGGAGTGTGAGGAACCGTGTACAATTGGTACGAATAACGGCGTACCCTCCACATCCAAAATCTTCTTAGTCTCTCCCCCGAAATTGAATAACCAGATTGAAATCCTTAGTTGTATAGGGATAGCCTTCTGAATTCTATTCGTACTGCGGGCTCGCAATTATTTTCCGTCACCTTGGCGCATCGTCGTACTATCTTCAGGTGTCGGTGAGCGATGGTGATACCTTTAGCTTAAATCTCTTACTCGCTTTTCTTCTTCTTGGTATTATTTTCTGTAAAGGACCCAAATCTTTATAGTTTTACAGGAGTAAATTTCTGTATATATTCTACTAAATATTGGATTAAAAGGAGGCACACCAATTAATCAGAGTCAATAATACTTTGCTATATAAGTAACATTCTTCTAGAGCGTATAAGGGGTAGAATAAATAAGGAAACGTGTTTTTTAATGTACAATAGGATCGTTTTAATGTTTGAGGGTAAAGCATTAAATAAAGTAATACCCCTATACAGAATACCTTTCTAGCATAAAGTTTGAAATGTAAAACATGGCACAATGTCATTGCAAGTAGATGAACATTAATTTAGGCAGGTCTCACGTGAAAATACATTATCAAATAATGTGACATATTTTTAACCGAGGATTATAGTGCCCCTTGAGAAAAATCAACTGTCTACGTATTTAACGTGCATCTAGTTTGCGGATATTTAAATATTTGATTACCTTTGTTCCATTTTTCGTGTTTCAGTGTAAACCCACCTACTATATGTTTATGCAATTGAGTTTCACCAGGACACGGTTAAGTTGAAAAATGTACAGTGTAAATACGGAATTGCCGCATTCTGGGTAAAACCTGTGGTAAAACGAATAATTGTATCAAATCAAACTTTACACATACGTTACACCCGCAATTCTCAGCAACGTCGTTGAATATACCTACATGGACAACGTGTTCAAGATATTCGTCTCTGAGAAATCATGAATGTGAAACTTGATCCTAATTGCTTTTTGGCGTTTAAAAGTGCCCGTAGGAACTCCTAATTCTCAGTTGTTGAGGTTCCTAAAATTTCGCTTTGTATCGTTTTGTTACAGGTGGTTTACTAACATGCGTAGGCTCACCATACCTTTTTCAATATGAGCCAAAACCATTCTATAAGGCGTTCTAAGAAAATTATGCAGAGCGGCCACAATTTTAAAAAATCTAAAATAAAACGGCAAGCATGACTCCAACTTTTTACGGTTTGAAGTTAAAGTTGATCATTAGTGTTAAAACACCCTGATGTAGCATCCAGTCAGTGTTGTTGATTTTGGAAGAGTTTTTGAAATTCAAGTCAACGGAGTGCAGGTCCCAAAAGAAAAGCAGTCAAACGTCAAAAATCTTGAATGAATAATAACTTGAAGCTCTTTGATGTTGAGTATAGGGAAATGTGGCATCGTACATTTTCATGTAGATTTCGAAAATGCAATAAATTACAGAGTGTTCTATTTAAAATAAGAGAGTTGCTATCAGCATCCGGTAAAATCGGAAATGAAACGAGCATGATAATATTTCCTTTCGATAGATCATGAAAAACTATGTCGGTATGCAAATTTCTATCCATGAGAGCCTGAAAACTGTTAGGTAACGGATTGCGTGAAACAGCATGTATGCATACTTATCCAAATTGGATTTCCTACCTCTAAAGATAATTACTCAAGTATACTACTGACACTGGGGGAAGTCTTCGATATAGATTTTAAATTCAACCGTAATTGAAAATTTTCGACAGTCTGTTTCAAACGGTAAATTCGGAAGTAGAAACAGAATGGATGCTGGAGTACATCCCTGTGGGAACGTTCAGTTGGACTCCTTTCTCCTTGCCTATTTCTAAACAGTTACTTGTAGGTACAAGTAAATTACTGAAAACGTTTCCGCGACGATCGCGTGCGATTATACATTCATATATGATTGAATTGCATGATCCCTCGACAAATCAGCCTTGAAACGAAATGGATTACCAGTTATTAATTTATTGATGGATTATGTTCCGATAAATGCGAAACGAAACTGTATAGTTTATCAAAATTCTGCACTTTAATTTTGCAGAGCCACAAGATATATTGTTTTGTCAATCTCTTGTGGCGCAGTAGAAGCAGGTGGTGTATAGTTTCTAAGCCCCACAAAGGTAGCAAAGGGCGCCTGTCTTATCGCGACAATGTAAAGATTTCTGGAAACACTTGCAGGTAAGTAGTTTCTTACTTAACGTTTTTATGTTTTAAAATTTAAAGCAACACAAAACCACTCTTACAGTAATACTTTAAAATCCCTCTTATCTGAAAGACTAACTAATGTGGTTTATTTGAGAATGTAGACAATTGCTTTGGAAATACCTTTGAAAAATCAAATGCTAGAAAGTCCCAATAGAATAGACGAATGATCTACCTCTAGAAACACCAAATAATTTTAAATGATCATCAATGATCATTCTAAAAGTATTATCGTTTTCAATTAGATTTTTCAGAACTTTCATTCTATTTTAAATTTTGCGGATTGGCTTTCTCATGTTATTTTGTTTTAGCTTCTCCTCTTCAATTAGTTAAGAGTTTCGAAAGGGAAACAACAAAAATCTATCCACTAATTTTACAATCGATTTTATCAAAAATAACTTGTCAGATTCAATGTAAGGGCCTATAAATTTACACATTAGCAAAATGAGGCTTATTGGCGAAATATCAAAAGCTTTTAATCATCGTCATTGCAAGGTATAACGTTTAAATCCTAAGATCCCGGCGTTACATTTTTTGATATTCGCATGAAAATGAAAAATGGAAACCTCGTTTACCGACCTCAAGTGCTCGTCTATTATTTGTTTTATTTTAGAAGAATTGAACATCTAATCGTGTGAAACAGACGGCAATAGAAGATCCCAAAAAATCTACCTTACTTTTTCTTATATGATACCGCTCTAATTTACTTGTCGAAAGCTTAGCTTCTTCTGACCTTCACAAAATGCAAAAGACCCACTAGTCCTGTGGTATAAATAAAGAAGACGAAGGCGAAGACGCAGACAAAATTCACAAAATTTCGTTCTTTAGTACAATTCGCCTCCAAAATAACGACCCATGTAACGCTCCATGTGTGGTACATCATTAAAAAGTAACGTTTTTTAACCGTGGCCACTTCCGTGGTGCTAAAAATCGCCATTAACAATCGGAACAGCACCAATTCTAAAGTATTCATCGTTGCCATGTTTCGCCTCGTGCTTCGAATGTTATTTTCACTAAGATAACAGAGCAGTTATTGTCACTAGCTCAAACAGGTTTGTTTAACGGGAATTTGATCTGATAATCAGCCCTGTGTCTATTAAAGAAGAACGCAGCCTGATTATTGATTAGGATTATTGATTATTATACTCATAGTGTAAATTTTCAGTCTTTAACCTTAAATAATTACAATGATAAGCTGGTTTAGTATGTCAAAATTCTTATATCATTGTGCGGAAAGGGATCCTATATTGTAAGAAAATGTGCAAATTTTATCATAACATGCGAAACAAAGCTAGGGAAAATTCTATTTTGGAAATTTTTCAAAATAGCACTAGGCTAGGGGTAAACTATAGTTGACTACTGTTACGTGGCATTTTCAACGAGCTCTCCCACAACGTAGCAAACATGGGGAGTTCCAGTTTTAAACTTTTGAGAGGTGGGTTATGTAATGCAAAGGGTGAGAGTATCAAGGCTAGACTCCCAATCGAGATTGATATTATTCTACGTTACCGATATGCCCTCATTGGTTTCTTTAAAAATTGACATACATGATCAA